TTTAGTGGACTTGCTTTAAGTATCTTCAGCTTCAGTCTGAACTTGCATATTGTTTGTTCCACAATTGACTGTTCCACAGTCTGCCCCTAACCTTGATTTGGCTGATGATATTGAACTTTTCACTCACAAATATTGTCAATTTGATTTCGTTGTGTTCCATCTGGTAAAGTCCATATGTACAGTGACATTTCATGTTGTTTCAAAAAGATATTTGCAATGAAAACTTCACTGGTCTTTCAAAATTCTATCATGCTGTCTCCAGTATAATTTCTGTCATTAAGTGTGTACTTTCCAATTACTTCTGTCTCCTCATTGTTTCTAGTTTTCACATTCCAAACACCAGTAGTTATTAGTGCATCCTGATTGCATGATGGATTAGTTTTAGACTGTAGAAGTTTGTAGATTTCTTCAATTTCTTCATCACTGGCTTTAATTGTTGGTACATAAATTTGAATAATAGTGGTATTAACCGGTCTTCCATGTAGACATGTGGATATTATCCATCACAGACTGCATTGTACTTCCAGATAGATCTTGAAATGTTCTTTCTTACGATGTATGTGACATCAATACCATTAAATTGGTCTTTCTCAGCATAGTAAAACATTTTTTTTTTGATAGTCAGTATGTCCAATGCGTATCTATTTTGGCTTGCTAATACCTAGGATATCAGTCTTTATTTATGTGTTTCATTTCATTTTTGACAACAGCTTCTCTACATTCATACTTTGCACATTTCATGTTATGATTACTAATGGATGCTTTCAGCTGTTTCTTCTCGTTTTGTTTGTGCCCCATCAGCAAAAGAAGGTTCTGGAAGCTTTGCTCCTTTTTTGTAATTATGGTCAACTTTACTTTTAGGAGGCAGCTCTTCCTCAGTTGTATTTTGAGTGCTCATCTTCTGGCACTATATCTGATAATGTTCTGATGCTATTAATAATGTCTATATCTTCCAAAACTGTATCTGACAAAGATCCCCTGATATTCATAAGATTTTCAGTGGCTAAACATTTAGAACTTACTTGCCTCCCCTTCTTGCTAGACTGTCTTTGTCTGGAAGCTCTGATGAAAGTTGTCCACTAACTGCTTTTCATAGCAGTTAGTTGTGGTAACCACACACCATCTCCATGAAATTTTGAAGCCCCTAGGTATGATATTAAGGAGCTCTGGTAGCGTAGTAATTACAAATCGGGCTGCAAACCTTATGGTCAGCAGTTCGAAACTACCAACTCTTCCACAGGAGAAGATGAGGCTTTCTGCTTCTATAAAGATTTACAGCCTTGGAAACCCTGTACAGGGTAGCTATGAGTCAGAACTGACTCCATGGCACATAACCACCAACACCAGGTATAATGTTGGTTAACTGGAAAGTATATGTCAAAATGGAGTTTGGTGAGGCACTGCGAGATGTTGTTCTGTACTGCAAGGTCTGTACTCAAGGTTGGCAATTCAAACCCACCAGCCACTCCTTGGAAACCCTATACAGGGTTGCTATGAGTCAGAACTGACTCATTGACACATAACAACAAATATGTCAATACAATGAGTGACCCTGCTGGAATTTAAAATACTGGTGACATAGCTTTCAGCGTCACATCAATACGGAAGCCACCACAGAAAGACAGACTGACAGACGATTGGTAAAAAGTCACTTGTAGAGAGTATTTACAATATGGAGAGAAGAGATAATAATACAACCCTATGGAATAC